GCGTCCTGAACTAAGGGACTGCGATTGGGTTACGGAAGGGCAGTGGGTGGGTACACAGGGGAGCAGGTGCATTTATTGTAATGGGTGTGTGTTTTCTTAATGTGGTTTAAGGTGTATGATGGAAAGTTTTATGCTAGATGATGTATATATTCTAATATTATAAAAGCCTTAGTTTGTCTGTCTGTCCATAACTCTTTATATGCACTCTGATTGGCTGACTGAAGCAGCCAATCAGAGTGTTCCACAAATGTCTGACAGCAGACAGTGCAGCTGAGTACCACCATGATGACAAAGCACCAGCAAGACCACTCAGAGCATGGGGAAGGTGAGGCTCCCTTGCCCTGCTTCCTGCAAGTGGTGCTGAGGACCAGACAGAGTGTGGGGGAGTTGAGGCCAGTACCACTGGCTTTGGCTCCCCCACCCCGCTCCCTTCAAGCGATGCTGAGGATGAGAAGTGGGGGCGGGGCTGGATGCAGGGGAACACAGAGCCGCTGGGCCCTGACAAAAGTCAGCAGGGAGGGGAAGGGAGGGAGGGGAGCATGGTGGCAGTGCCCCACTGCCACTGCTACTTGACAACAGACCCAAAAGGGCCCTGTCAACATCTGGGAGGGAGGAAGGAGAGCGGGGGGGGGGAGGGAGCTGGATGTAGGCCAGGCAGGCCCAGAGCACGGGGGGGAACAAGCCCAGACCCGAAGGGAAGGTAGAGTGGGAATGGGCCTGGACTCGGGGGGGAGCAATGCCAGACCGGCAATGTGGGTGGGGGAGGGGGCTGGACACAGGCCTCTGTCCATGCCTCTGCCCCCTTGTCATTCTTGACGGGTAAATTGGCTAGTCTAATATAATAAAAGCCTTAGTTTGTCTGTAACGCTTTATTTGCAGTCTGATTGGTTGTCTTGACAGCCAACTGAATGCCAACTGAAACAACTAATCAGAGTGCTCCAAGAGCATTCTTGACAGGAGGCCACGGTGGAACTCTGCCATGATGGTGGGGACGGAGGGGACACTGTTGGCCTCTCCCTCCCAGCCCTGCTCCCTGGAGGTGGTGGTGGCATGGGGTGCCGGCCAAGGGGGATGGAGGGGACGGCAGGGCAAGCTCCACCCCCCATTCCCGGGAGGCAGCGGCAGCTTGGGGTGGTGGCCGGCTGCACTCTGTCCCCACCCATCATTCCTGATGGGCAATTGGCTAGTATAACTATATCTCTCTATATCTGTATTTTTTTCCAACAAAGTTCATACAGTTATTCTATACATATACATATGCACACATGCACAGAGGAAATAAATATTTTTGCAAAAAAAAAAATATGTTTGCCCAATATGGGCCATTTGCTTTATGGATACGCAGTGTTGACTGCCTTCAATCAACTTCATATTTGGTTTCCATTACTGAGCACATGCTGCTTTTGGCAGCAGT